GGAAGAATTTTCTTTTACCTTTCCCTTACCTTTGAAAGGATGTCTTCCTTTTGCTTTCATCATCTTGGTGAACTTCTTTATAAAAATACTCATCTCTTCTTCATCAATTTCGGAGTCTTCTTCTTCTTCTTTCTTATTTTTGCTTTTTGAAATCTCGGTCTTGAAAGCTAGGTTCTTCTTTTGATATTGACCCTCTTCCTCATTTAGTCTTCCAAGGTCAAGTTCATGCTCCCTAAGCTTTCCAAATAACGCCGCCATAGTTCCTTTTTCTACCCATACTCTTTTATTTTTCCTTTTAGGCTTTTTCAAAGGAACTTGATGATTTACTTTATTTTGAGCAAACACCATTTCATGCTTCTTAAGATCATCTATTTCCTTTTCGGCTTTGTCTAATAAATGATTAAGAATATCTATGTCATATTCATGCTCTTTACAATTTGCACATGCTAGGTCCTTATCATTATCCTCATCTAAACATACAATTTTCGTTTCTAAGGACTCCTTTTCTTCTAAACATGTGATTTTCATTTTTAAGGACTCTATTTCCTTTTCGGATCTACTTAGATTCTTCTTTACAGCTTTATATTCATTCTTTAAGTTCTTAAAAACACTAAACAATTCATTATAAGCATTTTGCAATTCATCATAGTTATTATCCTCATCACTAGAAGATGTGTCGGAATCACTTACCTCAAAATCGAATGATATGTTGTCATTTGCCATTAAGCAAATATTTGCTTCAACTTCCGAGTCACTTGATTCCGAGCTTGAGTCACTGTTGTCCCAAGCAATATAGGCTTTCTTCTTGAAGACCTTTTTTCCTTTGAATTCATCGTTCTTTTTATTTGGACATTCGGTCTTAACATGTCCTGTTTCACCACAACCATAACATTTTATATTTACAGAAGAATTTTCCCTTACCTTTCCTTTATCTTTGAAGGGATGTCTTCCTTTGGTTTTCATGAATTTGGTGAACTTCTTTATCATTAGACTAAACTCTTCTTCTTCATCGTTTCAGTCTTCTTCTTCCCTTTTATTTTTACCTTTGGAGATTTCGGTTTTGAAAGCTAGATTCTTCTTTTGAAATTGTCCTTCTTCTTCGTTTAACCTTCCAAGCTCTAACTCATGTTCTCTAAGTTTTCCAAAAAGCGCCGCCATAGACATAGTGACAAGATTTTGTGACTCCGAGATGGCTGTCACCTTAGGTTGCCATTTCCTATCCAAAGATTTCAAAATTTTAACATTCAATTCATCAACGTCAAAGATTTTACCTAGTCCAGTGAGATGATTCACGATATGAGTGAAACGCTTTTGTACGTCAAAGATCGTTTCGCCTGGTTGCATCCGGAACATCTTTTTATTCTTGGATTAGAGAATTTTTGCGTGCTCTTTTAACGTCGTCAGTTCCTTCGTGGGTCACTCTAAGCATTTCGCACATTTCCTGTGCACTTTTACAAACAAAAATTCTATAAAACTCGTCAAGGGTTAGAGCAGATGAAATAATATTTCTAGCCCTAACGTCAAATTGGGCTTTCCTATTTTCTTCTGCAGTCCATCTAGAAAAAGGTTTAAGAACGTCAACACCGTTCTCAGTAATTTTAGGAACAAATGGACCGTTTAAAATAGCGTCCCAAACGCCTGTATCAACAGACTCTAAAAAGATTTGCATTCGTACCTTCCAGAAGGGATAATTTTGACCCGCAAAAAGTGGGGGTCTGTTGATAGACGCACCTTCGTAAAAGTTTGATTTTGTCCGGCCATTTTCAAAAATTTGAATGACTATCAAAGCAAGCTCTGATACCACTTGTTAGAATCTTGCAACGGAATGTTCGCGCGATTCTAACAGAGACCGTCGTCTTGCTTTTTCGGACCGCCGTCTCGCTAAATGGCAAGTCGAGACGGCCGTCTCGCTACTTTCCATTGGCGAGACCACCCTCCCATTTGGCGAGACGACCCTCTCGTCATTTGGCAAGTCGATACCGCTGTCTCGCCAAATGAGATGACGATCTCCATTTGTCAAAGTTGAGACTGTCATCCCGGATGGCGAGACGGCCATCTTGACCTGACAGGCGCGAATCCCTATAAATAGGGGGTGCTCTCCCCTTCATTTTAGACAGTTCTTCCATTCTTCCTTCTACATTTTCTTAGAATTCCTCTTTGAGAGCCCCTCTGAAACATTTCCGGAGTTTCTGAGTGTTTTAAGAGAGTTTTTATAGCGAAAAAAGCGGCATTGTAGAGCGAAGGGCTTCCAAAACACACCCTATTTTTCACAAGAATTAATCAAAGCTTGTTTCAGAGGTTTCTTCATTCTCCCTCTCTCTCTTTTATCGCTTTATTATATATGCATTAATTAGGGCCATGTAGTCATCATATTTTTATTCCGCAAATAAAAGGGTAAAAGCGTTATTTCAAAAGTTTATTTATAAAATAACTGGCCCATCATAGGGAACCCGAAAGGGGCGTCGTAGGGGAGTTGATACCTCCCTTACACATAACTAACTCCCTTACCCAACTCTGGTTTTAATGACCAATGTTGGTTTTTCTTAAAAAACCAACGCCTTTTTCCTTCCTTTTTCGATGTTTCTGGTAAAAACATCGGTGGCGACTGCATAAGAACCCTCTCAATCTTGCTCTTAGGTCAGCCCGGTTATCGGACGATCTAAGAGCTCTTTTTTAAAAACCTCGCCCTTAGGTTCAACCCGGTTATCGGACAACCTAGAGGCGTTGTTGTTAGAAAAGTAGGCTGAGATCAAGAGGGGGGGTGAATTGATCTTTGAAAAATTTTCGCAAATTACAGATTATCTATTCCAAAGATTAAGAGTTCTGACCAATTCTTGAATCAAACAAAACAATTAATCAAAATAAAGACTGCAGCAGAATTAAAGAGAGAAAGGTTAAGAAAGATACAACCAAGATTTATACTGGTTCACCCAATCCCAGGGCTACGTCCAGTTCCCGGCTAAATTCCAGCTAAGTTCCACTAGATTGAATGTTTTACAGATTACAATTCCAATCACACACTCAATCTACCACAAGAACCAAAATTCCAGTCCTTGCACCTACACCTTCACCAAGAACCAACTTCCAGTTCTTGAACAACCCTGCAGCCAAATTCCAGCCACAGAAACCAGTGCCGACACTTCCAAACACCCACAATACAGTAAAGAAAAGTAAAGAAACAAAGAGAAGAAACAAGAACACTCAAACCCAGATTATGCAGCTCTGCAGAATGAGTTTCTTCACCAAAAGAATGCAAAATTTACCTCAAGAAAGAGCTTCGAAAAACTTCACAAAACTTGTGCGATTCTTTCTTGAAAGTAGCACGTATGATTGCTTGATTGATTGCTCAAAGATATGTTTTAAAAGACTCAAGCAATCCTGTTTATATAGAAGATTTTTCAAACTGCTGGTTTAATTAATCTATTAAAACAATCTTTTAATCTGCTAAAAGTCTTGAATTAATTTGTTAAAACTTCTTTTAATCTGTTAAAATGTTCTTGATCATTTTTCATATTTGTTTTAACTGATACAACAACGTTTATATCAATTAAAACACTTTGTAAAAAATCCTTTAAATTGTTTTAATCAATTATTTTGTCTTTTAATCGATTAAAATACTGCAAAATGTTTTCATAAAACTTTCTAAGTGATTTTAACTTATAACAATCTGTTTTAATCGATTAAAACACTTTGGAAAAAATCTCTTAGTTGTTTTAATAAATTATTTCGCATTTTAATCGATTAGAATTCTGCCAAAATGTTTCATAAAACTTTCTAAGTTATTTTAACTGATAACAGACTAGTTTTAATCGATTAAAACTCTCTGGAAAAAATCTCTTAGTTATTTTAATTGATTAATTCGCATTTGCATCGATTAAAATACTGGCAGAACATCTTTCAAAACACTTCAAGTTATTTTAATAGATTATTTCAAGTTTGTATCGATTAAAATTCTTCCAAAACACTTTTCAAAACATCTTAAGTCATTTTAATCGATTATTTCGATTTTACATCAGTTAAAATACTGCCAAAAGGTTTTCAAAAACTCTTTTAATGAAAACAATCGATTAATTCGAAGATATATCAATTAAAACAGTTCTAGTGTATGTTTTAAAAGGTTTTAATCGATTATTTCAAAAACCTATCAGTTAATAACCTGTTACGAAAGTGTTAAGAACATTTTAACTGATAAAGCTCATATAATATTAGTTAAAACAGTTTACTTAAAAACCATTTAACAAATTACTTGGTTTTTGACAGTTTAAACACGTTTTAGAGGCATTTGCAAAATCTTTTAAATGAAGAAACCTCATGCAGCAGAGAGATAAGAATGATTATACCTAAGTATAGATGTAGACTCACTAACCACTCTACCCTTTTTTCCAAGTAACCTTTGACTACACCAGAATAGCCTTTGACTTCATTTTGACTTCATCAAATCAACAAGATCTTTGTTTCATCTAATGATTCAATAAGATCTTCATCACTTTCAGTCTCCCCCTATTTGATGAAGACAAATACCTCTTTGAATAATATCTCTGCAGAAGAAGTCACTTGAATATATAGATTAGTGAGTGTTCAAAAATTAATCATTTCTCCCCCTAGATTATTGCTCCCCCTCAAATAGTGAGTATAAAAACAATCATTATCTAAAACCAGTTATTTCTCCCCCTTTGACTTCATCAAAAATAGGGAATAGAGAAGCAAAACAAACACTATGCAAGATATATACCAAAATTATTTTGAAAATAGTATTTAAACAAAATTATGACACTATTGAGATGTATTACTCTTTTAAGAACCAATTAAATTATGAAAAGTGAAAGTATCCGCTTGGGATCATGTCTTCTTAGGACTATTTTGGATGTACAATTCAATTTCGATAGTAATATTTCATTTCAGTTGGGAAATGCATTCATATGTTTGGGGTAGTATAAGTGATCAAGGGATCGTAACTCATATCACAGGAGGAAATTTTGCGCAGAGTTCCATTACCATTAATGGATGGCTCCGTGATTTCTTATGGGCGCAGGCATCCCAGGTAATTCAGTCTTATGGTTCTTCATTATCTGCATATGGTCTTTTTTTCTTGGGTGCACATTTTATATGGGCTTTTAGTTTAATGTTTCTATTCAGCGGGCGTGGTTATTGGCAAGAACTTATTGAATCCATTGTTTGGGCTCATAATAAATTAAAAGTTGCTCCTGCTACTCAGCCCAGAGCCTTGAGCATTGTACAAGGACGTGCTGTAGGAGTAACACATTACCTTCTAGGTGGAATTGCCACAACATGGGCATTCTTCTTAGCAAGAATTATTGCAGTAGGATAATAGCTAGGAGGATTTGAAAATCATTATGGCATTAAGATTTCCAAGCTAAGGTAAGGTAGGAATCGAGTTCAGGAGCTTTTCTGCTATGAAAGCAGCAAGGTAATTTCTTTCTTTTTCAAAAGCTGTTATGCTTATAGTTCCCCACTCTGTAAGCACATTCATTGATGCAGCGAATCCAAACTCAATTGGAATTGTTATAAAGCTCTTTCAGAAGCGGAGGCACTCACTTCAAACCTTTAGGGGTCTATTGCTCCTGGTCAAGAAAGATTCGATTTTTCTTTTTCGAGTTTGAGAGGTTCAACTTCCTTTCCCCGTAATGAAATCATAGGAGTAGTAGTAGTCTCTTGATCTTGAAAGAAAGGCAGGCAGTTTAGGTAGTCAATTCAATGTCGGCTTCTTCAAAACCCTTTTTCTGCTAGTGAGCTTTTCTTTGAAACCATCTCGGAGCAGTTCTAAGGAAGTAGCTGCTCTAGCTTTAGGGAATCCGCGGATTTTTCATATCCTCCTTCGGTCTCTTTCTCTAAGCTTGTGGGAGAAAGAATCATGCACTCATACCCCTGAGTTTATACTTACAGCTATAAAGAACCAAAAAAAGGATTGGCTCACTCCAATAGTCAATGCTACCCCTACCAGCCCTAGCCCTAGCCCTAGCCCTAGCCCTAGCCCTAGCCCTAGCCATAGGGACCCAAAGAAGAAGCGCTCTTGCGCGGATGACCCCTACCAATTGCCCTAAGCGTTCAAACCAACCCTTGTGATGTCACTGAACGAAAGTTTTCTTTGAGGGCAGTGATCAGGAACAAAACAAACCCAATCGGCTAGGCTAAGTTTGAAAGTTGCGACTAGACAAAGAAGCCAGCCATTAGCCCTCGGTAAACTGGAGTATAGAAGTGGAACTCAGTCTAGCTACTCCCCTAAGAAGTTGCTGGTTTCAATATCCATCATGTCTGAATAGAAGTCTTATATGAGTATATAAATAAGAAGTAGGGAATTGGAAAAAGGGATGGCAATGGGAAAAAGCCCTACCAAAAACGAAATGAAAGTTCTTCATTATCGATAAGCAGTGGGTAGAACAGCACAACGATAGAAAGATGAGGAAATTCATCAATTGATATTTATCAATTGATCCGATTTTCTAGGCTTTCAACAGGGAAGATAAGAGATTTTGACTGGGCTAGGATGTTCATTTGGGAAGGATCTCGGATGAAGCTGTAGAGTTCTCGACCAGTGGAGTCAAGTGGAGAAGGCGGAACAAAACCAATAAGTTAGTTAGGGTTCCAAACCTCCCCTTACCTTACCTTAAGGGCCTTCCTTAGGGGACGTTCGGTCTGTACCTGAGATGTAGCCAAAAAAGCCTCAAAAGGTGGGTTTCTCAGTCAGATCCAACTGATCCCTCCAACTCTGTGTGCACGTTCCACAAAAGAGAAAGGCTTTGTTCATTGAGTGGGCTCTCTTGCTGTTGAAATAGTAGAGGCTCTTCTCTTTCTTTATAGGCGGCATATAAACAAATGTCGATTGGTCTAATTCGAAGAAAGAACTTTTTTGAATCTCTTGAATTAGAATGGAAGCCTAATCGTTTTTGACGGTTGGAGGCAGTTTGTAAGTTTCAGTACTCACTGGTTCAAATAGTGACTTCGGGACAGAGATAGTGAATCCTTTCTATTCTCCAAGGAAAGGACTCAGCATCCACAGCTCCGCCCGGCCTTTCCCAACCAAAACCAAACAAGGGAGAGCTTTCAGAGGACATATGGCCGAGGATCGAAGAAGCAAGGGATGACCCTTTCCAGATGACCAATAGAGGTTGGACAGATTCCTGTAACCATAAGGAGGAGAGAATAAGGAATTCGCTGCTCTAGACTTTGCTATAGTTGAATGAACTCCTAGGCCTTCAGCAGACTTTGATCTTCCACTTCTTGGAGAAATCTCCAGATTGCTATTCAACGTGGTATTAATGGACATCTTTGATCGGGAGTTTGTCAAATGTTATCCTGAAATAAGATTTAGACGATTTTCCCATGAAGTCTTCATAGCTACTGCTGATATAGATGATGTCTTCTCTGAAAAGAGTTGTTATGCTCTATTGGGTAAGATCGGTCTGAGAGGTGAAATCCATTCAATTTCACGAGGTGTAGGGTACCTTTCCTGTGGGGGTAAGATGGAGTTCTTAATAATAGCCGTAAGGTCGTAATCAGTGACCCTTACTCCAACCTCTATTAAATCACCAAGTACATTTCTCTTCCAATATACTACCGCTACCTTAATGCTATCAAATCTTTCTCTTTATCCTTTGAATTACTCATCTATATCCTATGAATTTGATTTCGCACCGGAAACGATTCTAGGAGAAGTTCGAATCCGTTCCGTTCGGATATTGATCGGTCTTGGTTTGACATGGTTTACGCGTTACTGGTTCCCGGAAGAGTTAATATCTCCATTAGCTAAACCCTTTCTTACCCTGTCTTTGGACTCGTATTTTGTTTGTACACAATCAACGGAGGCCTCCCCGACATATGTTGCAACGTCTTCAATAGCATGTTCTTACTTTGTCTTTCCCTTAATAAGTCATCAAATTTGGTGCTTTTTGATCCCCAGTTGCTATGGGGAACAAAGGAGGAAATACAATCGCTTCCTCTATTTAAGTGGTTCTCGCTTCTCCTTGTTACTGTTCCTAACTCTTCCCCGGGTAGTACCCAATGTTTGGTACTTTCTATACTTCGTGGGTGCAGCATCAACAAATTCGCTCATGATCCAGTTACAACCTAAGATCTATGACCATATTATGCTAACTGTTCGTATTTCGTTCATTCCATCGGTATGCTCTCAGGTACCTGTCATTGTGATCTGTTTGCCAGAACCAAGGGGTCTTTCTGTGGAAACCTTCACGAACAATCGTCGTTTTTTGATGGTTTTTCCGCTTCTCACAGCTGCTCTTTCCACACCTCCGGATATCTGGTGCCAAATCGTCGCCCGTTTCCTTCTTTCTTCGATAATAGAGTTGACTATCTTTGTGGCATCGATTGTACAAGTTCGCGAAGAGGCTGGACGAGTGGAATGAGGGAAAGCGGCTCGATTGACAAAATGGATAAGGTTAAGGTGTAGTCTCTCCTACCTGAGGAAGAGGACGAGGCCCCCGTCAATGGGGGGAAGGGGAGTGGGCAAGGGGCCCCTTCACGGCTAATCGATCTCTCTCCCTCTAGTATATATAGTAATAGTAAGCTCATCGAAAGACCTGGTGCCCAAGACTCCAACTTGGGGAAGGTGGGATGCTAGGTGGACAGGATTGGACGTTAACCTAGAGAGCTAAGTGTAGTGCACTTCGTTCTCTTTGATTGGCACATGGAAGATCCACTTAAAGCATAAAGAAGATCTGCACCGCTAAGACAAGGAAGGTAAGATATTCAGAAAGAAGATAAGACAAAAAAGTCAATATTGCAACTGACAGCTAATAGGAGAGAGAATACAACTGTCAGCAAATAAAATAGATAAGACAGTCCTGTCTTGATAGTTTACTTCAGATTTCAATGTCCGATCTGACTGTGAGAATAGCGAAGTCCGGAATGACATGCTCAATGCCAGTCCATCCAGAAATGCCAGATGAATCCCGTGAGAGATCTAATCTAGGCAGAAGATCCCATCCCTAAAAAAAAAAGTGTAATCAGAGGGTGAAACCTTGCTTTGCAAAAGGGGAGTTCTTTCCCGCATCCATCCCATAAACCCCTGTCAAAGGCGCTTCTACTCATTCTCAATTCAGGAAAAGGTTTCCGGTTGCCATAAAGAAAACCACAATCACACAGTCAACTCGAACAAAGAGCTTCTCGCCTACAAATTAAGGAGCTGGTCCAAGCCTTCCTCTTTACTGTTTAGGAGTAGCATTGAAGATTCGAAACCTTTCGTGTCGTCAGGTTGCTACACCTAACCTAGCCTAGCGGGAGCTCACTTAAGGCTCCGAGTATCATGATCGTAAGACGACATTTGCTAGCCTCACACTACCCTTTTTGGAACCCTCGAGTAGTCATGTGGAAGAAACAAACGAAAAGAAAGGAGAAAGGCTTGCTGTTGCCAAGGCCTATTCCTCGACCATTTTTGATCGGAAGTCACCTATTCAATAAGTTGGGAGTCCCCGCCATGTAAACCCATATCCCATGGAAGAATCGAATCAATACCGACTATTTATTTAGCATCCCGAAAAGTGACGAGAAGACCACACTTTACATCTTTCTTTCAAAAGAGGAGAACGCGCTCATATAATATTAACAAAAATTAAAGAAATCCTCGTCCAGTGGCACGTCCTTTAGCTGCTGCGGTCCGGTACGGGGAAAGAAGTTCGGACATATTCTATTCTATTCTATATAGGAAGCGCTCCTTGCCTGAAGAATAGGCGTCTTTCATACCTTTCCTGGGAACGGGCAAGAAAACAGATTGGCCTATGAATGTGCACCCTCTTTCCTGATACTAGGGACATTTGATTTGAAGATCTAGGCCCCTCCAATAGCATAAAAAAGGTAAGCCTTTGGAGTGTAAGTGTCAATTCCCAACCATCTAGTTCTAATGGAAGTTGTAGTTGCAAAGCCAGTTTAAGAAAGTTCATTTTCAAGCTGGTAAGGGCCTGGTACGTGTGACTGCAAGAAAATGTTTCCCTACAGTTGCATTGACCCTTACCTTTTTCGGGCTTCCATGTGAGCCAGTTTTCAAGACTTTATACAGCAGTGGTAAGGTACACCTATGTCATTTCCTTTTTTTAAGGGGATCTACGACTTAATATAAAGATAGGACCAAAGTCAAGTGATTCAACTCAAGCACGAACCGCTACCTCCTCTTCTCCGACTTCAGCAGAAAAAAGTCAAACAACTCATTATCTCATGTCAACAGCGCATTCGTTCACTCAAACAGCGCATTTGTGAGCTCCAAGTCCAAGAGCCTATCCGGTACGAGAAGTGAAGGGTGAATGTGAAATTCTCTTATTTAGTTTAGCGAGAGTCGAAAGGTCGTAAGCAAGTGGCTATGGGGAAGTCAGGGTATAAGAATCACTGATTGGAATGGTATCGAAGGCGACCATGGGGAGCTTTGTAAAGCCGAGTAAGTGATCCGAAGGAGAAGCTGTGACGGCTCCTCTTTCATCAGTTTCATTTGGGAAGGTGAGGGAATTAAGAGAGGCATATTCCAAAAAAATTGCTATTCTTTTTTTTTTTTTATAAGTATTTCGGGAAGAGCTTCAAGGAGAAAGGCGGAAGACTTTTTATTTATATATGGAAAGTAGGTCCGGTCCGTGCGACTCTTGGGGAGTCTATCATCATAGCTGGACCTAGATGAAGCCATGTCCTTATTCACGAACTACAACAAACCTGTCTTAAGCATAGTGCCAGTAGGAAAGTCTTTCTTTGAGAGAGTTCGGTAAGGCTAACGGTAGCAAGCATTCCTTCGAAGCAAAGGAGGCTAGTAGGATGCTTGATAGCCAGTCTGTTTAATAATTAAATTTAAATATAGTAGAAAGCTGGTCAAACTCTTGAAAGCAAGGAGCAATCCAATCAGTGTGAGCGGGAAGTCCATTCAGTCCAGTGAGTGGGAGGTCGTCGTGAATGAATGGGTCTTTTAGAGGGTTCAGTTCCCACGGGTAAGATGCTTATGAGTAGGTGCGGGTTAGTAGCAAGAAGGCTTTATTACTTAATTAAATTAAATGAAAGTCGGGACGGCCGTCTGAGATTTGGGACGGTCGTCCCAAGCACCAAAACCAGTTGGGACGACCGTCTGGAAGTTAGGACGACTGTCTCAACATGTGGGACGGCCATCTCAACTGTTTTTGCCAACTTTTGTGTTTTGGGACTCTCGGTAAACTTTCCTTTCTTTATTCGGACGTCGATTGATGCCGATAGACGTCCATTGAAGCTTTATCTTCATATGGGAAGTCTTCTTGGCCTTTATTGAGATGTCGGGCGAGCTTTATCTTGTTATAGGAAGTCTCTTTAGCCTTTATTGAGAAGCCGGGCAAAATTAGGGGTCTACAACTGCCCCCCCTTCACCTGCCTGACTAACTATTGGCCTAATATGCCGACAAAGTTAGTTGGTAGGGGAAGGAGTTAACCCTTTTTGCCCGGTTATCCTTCAGATGCTTCTTCGCTTCAAGTTTGCTGATCCTCCGGATGATAAATGTTTTTGATAGGTACCAACCCCTATCTGGTTTGAGCCTTCTTTGTAAGGCTCTGGTGAGTACTTACCCTCACCAGGTATGAGTCTGCATTTCACTAGACTCTTGTGGGTACCTACCCCCACTAGGTATGAATCTGCTCTTCACTAGATTCTGAACCATATTCCATAAGGTTCTTGTGGGTACCTACCCCCACTTGGTATGAACCTTGTTCTGCAAGGCTTTGGTCAGTACCTACCCTCACCCGGTACGAGTTCGCATTTTGCTAAACTCTTGTGGGTACTTACTTCCGAGGTGCTCAACACTTGAACTATCCTCTAATAGAAGCAAGGTATTTGCAACCCGTTTTTGTAATGCTCTGGTGAGTATTTTACTCTACCTGATGCATTTTGCTAGGTTTTGATGAGCACCTACCCTTATCCGGTACAAACCTTATTTTAAAAGGCTCTGGTGGGTACCTACCCCCACCTGGTATGAATCTGCATTTTGCTAGATTCTGGTGGGTATCTACCCCCACCTGGTATGAATCTGCATTTTGGCTAGATTCTGATGAGTACCTACCCTCATCCGGTACAAACCTTATTTTATAAGGCTCTGGTGGGTACCTACCCCCACCTGGTATGAATATGCATTTTTGCTAGATTCTGATGAGTACCTACCCTCATCGGGTACAAACCTTATTTTATAAGGCTCTGGTGGGTACCTACCCCCACCTGGTATGAATCTACATTTTTGCTAGATTCTAATGAGTACCTACCCTCATTCGGTACAAACCTTATTTTATAAGGCTCTGGTGGGTACCTACCCCCACCTGGTA